TTCTCGGCCTCTAGCTGCTTCAGTTCTGAAGCTAAACTCAGGCTGGAACGCACTAGGCTCTCCAGTGCGATCATGCGTTTCTGCACTAAACTCGCAGATGCTATTAGCAAGAACGATCCCTACGCTGTAACACTTGGGCTCATATTGGCCGTGCTTTGACTCCTTCCGGCACACAGGAGAAAGGGCGCCAGTTGGGATGAAGGTAGTGCATTATAGGGCCACACGAACATGCAGATGCATGATTACCGGTTTTTATGCGTTTTTGCCGTGCAGCGCTAAAGCGCTGCAGCAAAAACGCATATTGCAACGACCCTGTCAGTGTGTGTGTGTTCGTCTGTCCGGGTATTTCAACTCGCTAACCGCGTAAGCTTTGAAGCTGAAATTTTGCCAGTGTGTTCCCCAGCCAGGTGCCACCCCAGGACCGCAGTTTCAACCCTCACTCCCCCAGCCAGGTACCACCCCAGGACCGCAGTTTCAACCCTCACGCATGTCTGGGCCCCGCGTACGAGCCAGTGTGTTCCCCAGCCAGGTACCACCCCCAGGACCGCAGTTTCAACCCTCACGCACGTCTGGGCCCCGCGTACGAGCACGTGAAAGTTTTGCGGGAAAATCGCTAACTCGGAAACCAGAAAAGCTAGAAAGCTGAAACTTTGGGAGAATGTTCCCCATCCGCACGTGATAAAAGATTTCAAATTCAGCTGCCTAGGACTGCCCGGGGCTCACGTATGGGCACGTGAAAATTATGGCGGGAAAATCCATAACTCGAGAACGAGAAAAGTTAGGAAGTTGAAACTTTGGGGTAATGTTTTATACTCATGCACGACCAAAAGTTTTCAAACTCAGCTCCTTAGGACCGCCAGGGGCTCACGTACAGACACGTGAAAATTTCGGCGCGAAAATTCACAATTCGAGAATGTGAAAAGCTAGAAAGGTGAAACTTTAAAGGAATGTTCCCCACTTATGTACGAGCAAAGTCATGTGTTTGGAAGCGCCGAAGCCCACGTACGAGTGCGTGGAAATTTCGGCACGAATGCCACTAGCCGGAAGCGTGAGAAGCTAGAAAGCTGAAACTTTAGGTTAATGTTCCCCACCCATGTACGAGCAAA